CAGGAATGCGCGCATTCCGCTGCTTGCATGCAACCTATAATCGTTATCCACCGCGTCCTTTCGGCGAGCATCTACAAGATCATCGACCTCAATGTTCAGCTCAAGCTGGTGGCAGTGGGGCGCCGTGTAGTGTGCAACTGTTCAACTTAGCAAAATGCCAGAGCCTGCTGATCAAGTAGCTGGGCCGCTCACATACATGATGGCTTCTCGATAGTAGTCTCGGGCCTGCACTAAAGAGCTTGTATTCACGTAATGTTGCATCCCGAATAGTGTGGGGGACCTTATTTTGTGCGAAGTTTCTCCCCCAGATCGTTTGGGAGCCTTAGATGTGCTACGTTGCGCGGCCCAAAACAGTTTTTGGCGGATTGGCTAGGATAAAAACATTGCCTTCTAAACCATCGGTAGGTTTCACCTAACCTGTTAGCCTCATGCTGTAAGTACTTAGTTAGGGTCCTAATCCAAGCTGCTCTTACTAAACTTTTAGATAGGACTGTTTGCCTTGATGATCTCAAGCTTGAAGATTTCAGGTTTCAGGCCAGGCTCAGAACTATCAATTCTTCTTCCACCAGTTATTCGAGGGGGAAGCCAGGGGATGATTTTGCAAAGGGCTGTCCAGCAGCTGCGCAGGTCCTCGACAGCAAGAATTTGTTTAGTGGTCGTGAATTATCTCATCCGTCAATGCTGAGAAAGCTGGGGATCCCATAAGGCAAAACCCTGTACTTTGTAAGACTCACTGGCCCCCGTTGACTTTAATCGAAAACCGCTACAGAGCGCCCCGCGCTCCTCCTATTGAATTTGTTTTGTCTCAACAGCCGCTACAGAGCTCTGCAACGCTGGAGGCCTCCAGTTGAATTTGTAGTTTGAAGCAGCAGCTACTGTGAGCTCCGCAGCCGCCCTCCCATTAAACTGAGCTCTGCAACTCCCCTCCTATTGACTTTAACTGAAACGGATGCCGAGCTCCGAAAGACCTCCGCCTATTGATTTTAATCCAAATCTACGTGCCAAGCTTGCTTGGGAGGGCCCTCTACTCAATAGAGTCCGATGTTCGTTCTTTTTTTGGGTGATCACACTAGTCAGGCCTCAAAGTTACTCTTCAGGAAGCTGTCCCGAGGCAGAGCCCCAGTTGCCCTTGCTGAAGTCTCACGATTCGCGAGCTTCTATTGCACCTTAGCCCACCTGAAATGCAAGCTCCAGGCTGAAGGGCTGATGATATCAACCCCAGTTTCCATGTCATGTTCCATGTTCTTTTCCATTTGATTCTCCATTATAGAGGGATAATATCCCGAGATATCCCTATACACCCCTTTCACCTAGGGCCTCTATTTCATTTTCCACTTTATTTGCCATTGATTTTCCACTATAGGGGGATTATATCCCAATATAACTCCAATATAAACCCAATATAAACCCCATGTAACCCTAGTTTCACCCTAATATAAACCCCATTGGCCTATACCCCCAAACCCATTGCCTCCAGGAGGTTGCCACACTTGAACTTATCGTTGCCGATCCTCAGAGCACATAAATGTGACATGCCTCTGCTTGGAACCCCAAACCCTAAACCCCAAACCCTAAATCAACATAGATCCCAATTTACTGAAACTATAGTCCTTATTAAATATAGGGACCCAAAGCCCTAAGCCCTAAACCTTAAACAGTATCTAGTCCCTATTGTACGGACCCCCCAGACCATTTTGGGGAAAGCATCAACAGATCGGGCCGCCCTAGGTCTTAGCTGGCCTCTGGCTAGCTGGGAATGAAGGAGTGGAAAAGAAAATGGAAACTACTATAGTATATTAGGGTTATATTGGGGATGTTGTATTGGGTAATGGAAACTACCATTTTAGGGTTCCACATTGTCTTCCTTGGCAGCTGGTACTGTGCAGTGTGTCACTGCCGATGCCATTTCTCTTCAGACCATCTTCGATGCCTTAAGCACCATTACAGATTACAGAAGCTCTGCTCGATAATGACAATGGCAAAACGTGAGCCGTAATCATCATAATCCGCAAGACGACCAGGCAGACGGTCAGGATAAGAAGAAAGCTAGCCTCCGCTTTTGCGGATCTACTTTGAGGCGAGGGCATCTTGAATTCGGAGGCGCGAGAGACGCGCTGTGCATTGCCCATGGCCTGCTTGCGGGACTGGACCTGCAGACGGCTATCGGAGCCCCAAAGTAGGTTGCCTCTCGGATTTTTCTTTTACATCGGATCTGGCTGTCTCAGCAAGGTGCTGCATAGAGGCTGTGGGATTTTTGCTGCCTTCTGGAGGCATCTTTAGACGCCAACTAGTACCGAGTGTTGCAAAATTCTCCTCGGCGGTCAAAAGAACCGACAGAAGCCAGGAGTTACGAGGAGATGTATTAGGGTCCCGAAAATAGAACAAGAAACCCTGAAGCCACCAGCGTAAAGTCAGAACTTGCCAACTCTCAAAAGCTCTTTGCAGCTTTACATTTGCTCGCTATTGCACCTCCTTCAGTTGCGCCACCACAGTGCAACACTGGCCAAAATCAAGCACCTCATTGATTCAATACAATATAGGGCCGGCATGCTACAGTCTTTTCATAGATCTTTAAATGCTGCCTGCATGAGCAAAAGTCCAAACTCCGAGTATCCCCCTTAATAAGCCCTTTTGTAGCCCCCTATAAAATCCCCATATATAAACCCCCTTTAAGGACTTTAGACTATGGCTCGCATGACATTGCACAGAAAAGCTAATGAGCCACAGTCTAAACTCCTCATATCCCTGTATAACCCCCTCTCAGGAGTTTTGACTATGGCTCTTATGAGCAAGGCAGCGCACACCTTCCACGCAAGGAGAAGCCACGGGCCTTCTCCTTCCACTCCCTTTCCAGCTTTTCCTTCATGAGCCGTCTGGGACTCTCATACCCCAATTAGGAAGGGGCAGCTGCTGGTTAAGCTCAGAATGATTCAGATTACGAATTTTCTGAAGCATTTCTGAACCTATTTATGACTTATTTGTTGAATGTGACATGTTTCTGGAAATATTTCTGGCTCTGAAAAGATATCTGAAAATAGTTCTGCTTTTTTTTGAAAAATGATTCTGCAATATTTCTGGAAAAGAAACACTTATGAATTCATTTGATTCATTGTTGAGGAGAGCTCATCTTCAAGATTGCAGACCTCAACACGGTAAACACCATTTTTTTGTGATTTCGGGGTCCGCCAGCCCCAAACAATTTCTGATTTTTCTGGATCCCCGCCACTAGACCAGAGTGCAAGTACCTGTGGCGCCGAATCAAAAAAAATGGTAGAAGACAAACAACCCTTCAGAAATTCAGTCAGAAACCACATCAGAAAAGATCGGAGCTTTTGAAATCCTGTCAAAAGTCAAATATTTGAGGGTAACCTTTTTCTTACTCACACTTGCCCGTTGCATCCCGTCACTAACCCCATCCTCACATGCTGTTGCTTACAGATTGTCGTGCACCACGCTCCAAGCTTTGAACTGTCAAACAAAGCTGCAGGCATGCCGTCATCCAGGCCTTCTGATAGTCTTGAAATGAGCGCGTCATGGCTCTGCGATAGCACGGCGGGACTCAAGCTCAGTTAACGCTGCGCAAGGCTGGAGGTCAAATAGAATGACTTAGAACGACTAGGAAACTATGTGCAAGGTCATCTTCACCTATCTGCATCCGGGACCTGTTTACTGAGTAACACATACTAGGTAAGCAATATCTTGTCTGTTCCCTGTGTATCCTCAACTAGGGCATGAGGCACACGCTACGCTGCTGCGAGTCGCCGAAACAAGTCAGATGGTTCAGGAACGTCTCCCCAGCATGCCGCATGTGTTCAAACGAATGCAGTTCTGGGCCCTGGGGGCTGCAATAAGTAGCATAGCCCTACTCAGCCCACTCTCGAAATCCTTCGCCCTGAACATCACCGAGGGTGTGTCATTTTGACAGTATGGGCCGACCAAGGCAAGCGCATCATATGAATACAAGACAAGAGCAACACGCAAAAGATCAAGACACTTGTTAGCCATGAGTGGCATGAAGATTGTGCACATCAAGAGCTCGTGACAAAAGACTACTCAAGCTGTCTACCGTCACCTGAAATCCATCGACTCCGCAACCCGGTTAACCCTGAACTTCAAGCTCAAGAAGCTGCCCGCCATGTCCGGATCACTCTCACGGTACTGTGTACTCTGGACACATTCATTCAGCAAAGCTTGAGACTGGTAGCCTCCGGCAAAGCGTCGGCATTTGGGAGCAACATGAGCTCCAAGCTCTGCACCAGTGCTGCTAGGCATTTGCTAGATGATGGCATGTCCGAATCTGCCAATGCTGCTAGATGCACTTGGCGCTGTGATGAGGCTGCCTTGTCAACATGCCGACAAAGTCTGCTCATGTGGCACCGACCACGGACATCTATGCCATCTATGCCGCTCAAGCCGTTTGAAGTGGCTGCAACACACGTGGCATCTCACACGTCAGCATTGCGGGCTTGCTCTCAGGCCATCGATTCCAACTGCTTTGGCATGTGCTTGACTTGGGTGAGGCGCAAATATCCAAGTCAGAAAAAAGCATTGTGAAGTAGGCTTCACACCAGCGGTCTTGGATCCTCATTAGCTACCCTGAAATCTAAGCCTGCTTGCCCCTGGTCATGTGCCTAGTCCTTGCACTCCTCATCCAACCTGGCTTATGAGCAGCTGCACACACGATCTTGCAAGATCCTCTGCTTCCCATTGTTCGCTCTTACGGATCAGCGGCAGGGCTTTCTTTCGGCATGACATCTCGCACAGTATGTTGCACTTAAACCAGGCATGCATGACCTGGGCGAGAACTGCAGCGGGAACTGTTCCCTCCGCAGTGGCACGAGAGGACAAGCCACATTGCCACGTCTTAGTTAACGGCGCATGCGGAGCCTCCCTCGTATCAAAGCAAATCTTAGCAAGTCTAAGCGTCTTGCAGCTCTGTACCGTGCTGGACAAGCTCTGCTTTCTCAGGTCGCATACAACGAGCTAACGAGTTCCATAACCTACGCCGCTCCAGCGCGGCCCGTCAACTGCGGGAATCTCAGTCTGGGAGCGTACATCATGCAAATGCCTCGGCGATCTACGCTGAGTAGCGTCAAGGGTTGCTTACGCATAGGGCCATAGGGAGGAGGGCCACAGGAATTCACCTCAATCTTTCCGACTACAAGTCCATTGACCGGGCCGTATTGCAAGACGTGCTGGTCTAATCCAGAATTTCCGTGTATGAGGTGCAAACTAAACAAGTAGTTGCAGGTGCCAGGTACAAGGCGCTGGGGTTAAGTCAACGCAGGTTGTGTGAAGTCGCCCTTCCCCAAGCTCACGCCCAGATTCGCGCGAAGTCGACCCATCCGCAAAAAGTAGACTCACACACTGGTTTCTGCAAGTACACGCTGGTTTTGAAGGAACACAGCCCAACACGTCAAATCTGCGCGTGGCACGAGACTCTTCGCACAAAGTGAAGCAAAT